TATGGCATACGACTTCTAACTAGGTGCGCTCTACATGGTCGCCCTGACAACAAGACAAAGTTGCGACGAGGTCAATCCACTTCTATAAATCGAAAGGAGACTGCGACCATAACAGCGGCCACAACATCTTGGTCTTCATATATTCAAGTATCCCTATTCTTCGAGTCGATGAACAAATGTTCTTCCTCTTTTTTTTCTCAAACAGACAGGACCTATTTCGAATCTTAGGCAGTCCCCATTAATGACTGCATTCTTTGAATTCCTCATCCTTTTGGAGGAAGCCTCAAGGGGTGGAATACTCGGAACAATATTGCTGACAGTCTTTCATCACTTTTGACCAAATATTTTTTTGTGTAGGAATAATACTTCTTCTGGAGCAGCTATAACTGCCTCCTTTCCATGCATGAAATATCGTATTCTTCACCAAACTGACAATATAAAGTCAGTGTCATCATAACGAAAGCGGGATCCGAATAGTGAACATTCGAGGTAAGTGAAAAACACATCATTTCCTGAGTCAAGCTGCGATACATGGTGAGTATGGCCTCATCAAAAATGCATAACTTTGTCAAAACCCTTAAAAAATTCGTTAGTGCATGAAAGCACTTCGCGAATTAAAAAGGATAGCCTCTCGAGTTCACAATTAATTGAACACCGTAGCTAAAAAACAATGTTTTTTGGCAGAAACCGCATCCAACACTTAAGGTACTAATATGTTTTAATTATACTTTGATATAATCTTTAAATTATATGCCTGCGATTTTGAATCCATCCACTTTGTTGCTACAAAATCGAAACGTCTCCATGCCGAATGGGTGGAGAGCAAAGTGATTCTTCTCAGAGGATTTAAACAATGAACCGGTTGGTACAACAACCAAAGTTAGTTACGTTTACTCTATTGTTTTATCAGGAACTTGAATCTGAAATCCGACAATGGCTCAACAACTCCGATTCCGCACCAATGGAGACAACTTGGTCCCCAGCCGGAACTACCAACGTGTCTGGCGGTAAGGGACGCTCCAACTGGAAGACAAGGAAGTTGGGTAAACCCGAAAAGGTTGGTACAATACCCAACAAGACGGTACTCCCAGTACAGTATGAATTTGCGCCACCCACAGATTCAAATCATTCCGGGCTCCAGACTAATTCGACCATCGGCGACAGCAGTCAGCAGATAACAACACAAATTACATCGCAAGCTATTGTCCCGCCGTCAGTTACCACCGAACTACAGGCGTCAAGCACACACTCGCCTTTGACAGAAATTCAATCACCAAGTCAGGACTTGATTTCTCCCATTGATGCCAACCGGTCATCCCAAATAGTTGAAATTCCGCAAAATACCTACCAGGGCTATCCATCAAATGTGGACCAACTCGAAACAGCTTTGGACGTATCTGAGACGACTAACCCGAAACAGAATGAGAGTCTAATCCTGCCGCCTGTGCTCAGAGAGGAGTCCCATTACCCTCCTGCTTTTGAAGGTTCAAAGAGGCTCAACTCTGAGCCGACTGTAGAGATAGACGAGCTAGTGCCTGTTGTGTCAACCAAGTTAGAAACGCTAAATGAGAATGCGCAAAATGTCAGCAGTAGCGTAAATAGAGAAAATGAAAACAAGTTTGCCGAAAATGCAACGTTAAGCTCGTCCGCCTGTGCCAGGCTTACTGGCTTGAGCCGGTTTAACTTTGTTTGGCATTTGCTCTACTTTACGGTTTTCACGTTGCCGGGATTTTCTCATTAGAAATTAGTTTGATGGCTACTTCGTACATGCTAATTCACACCGACAGTCGTCCTTTATTGGTCAATCGAAAAATGACAGATTTGGTCGCAAGTTGTCACCACAACAGGCCGAATTCTCGATACTTGCGTTGACCAGTGGTGGACCCTCTTGTAAGTTGACTAGCATGAGATGCCAGCCGAACGATGTTTCTAAGCCATAAATGTGCTTTTTAGATGTTGCCCTTTTTTCAATCCATGCGAATCTTGAGCTCATTCACAAGAACTAGTCATCCAAGCCTCATTCTTTTACCAAGCGTGCATTTGGCGTATTTTAGCAGTACTTGAACTCATGCTTTTGTTGTACCATTCATCTGCTCAAATAGAACTTGCAATGTCAGTCAATTATTTACATTATCTCTATTGTGACTCCTTTTAATTAACCATCATCCTCTCAAGTGCTATTCTAGTTACAGCCTATTTTATGACTATTCTGTAATTAACAATTCGTAATTTGCCTTTATGTTTTTGTTTCCTAGAAT